AAATAAAATCTTTAAAAAAGAGATAAAAATAAATGGTATGACTACAGGCTATCAGTTTGTGATCCCTGCTTTACAGGGAATGTGAGATCACTGAACAGTGACTGAAGTCCTGAAAGTGTCCTGAAATGGCGGCGTGTCCAAAGAATTCCAGAATTTGAGAAGAGGATGACCCAGAAAGTGTTCCTGAGTTGGGAAAAGAAAAGCCAGGAGTGAGCAAGACCTTACTAAAGGCCAGGAAAAGAAGGCCTTTTAAGGAGGATGTAGTGAGTGCTGCTAAGAGATCAAGGAAAATGAGGAACTGAAATAGTGACCTCCACAAGATGCCTAAACTGTGCTGATATTGTATAATAAGTCTCATGCATCTTCTGAATTGTCTGTGTCTTTTGCCTGACCGGGAGGGGGTGTGGCTGAGTTAGATCCAGCACAAGCTCCTAGAGACCTGGCTTCATTCCAGCAACAATCAGCATGGCATAATAAACAAGACCACTATAAGAGAAACACATTTTTGACGAGGTATTTATTAACACATGCTTTAATATCAGAGAGACTCAAGTAGGCTCACATCAAAAACCATGAAGCATGTATTTCTTGTGCAATGCTGTTAAGATAAGTATCTAATAAATTTTGGTCTTCAGAACCAAAGCTCTATGAAATGTACTATTGCCTTTATTTAACATAGACTATTGAAGGTACAGGAATCTACCAGCTACTGAAAACTGCAGAACCCTACCCCTGGTGTATCTTTATTTGTGGAAGATAAATTCTAAAAAATGTGCCATAGAACAGGATGAAAGTCATTTTCTAAGTTGAAATTATAAAACTTTATTATCAAAACTGACATTTTTCAAGATAAAAACAGAGCACATTAATGATTAATGAACTCAACAGAAAGATTCCAAAATAAAGTTTCTACCAATTTAATTCTCTTAAACAACTGTAAATATATAGTATATATAGCTTTACCTGAATTAAAAATTCTCAAGTCCCTCACAAAGTTACTCATCATCAAGAATAAAATTCTACGTATATAGGGAATTAAATTCAGAAAAAATTTAGTTAACATATTGAATGTAATTAAACATTGTTAAAATATCAAAACAGAGCAGTACATTTCAGAGTATATATGTGTAGTGATTTTTAAGGCTCTAGTGAGACATACTCTAAAATGTAGCTAAGCAATGTATTAATAATGTATTAGTCACACAATGTAGTTAAGATCATTATAGAAAAATAAATTATATATGTGATATATAAATCTATATACATAAATACATATAATTTCCTCTTATTGGATTTTAGGAAAATATGTGTCATAGTTAATTCTTTCTATGTTGTATTTTATTTACAAGTTAGGAACTTAATAAATAATTATTTGGTATTAAATGGTTCAGTAAGACTTACCCATATATGCTGTACTTTTATATACATTATTGCATTTTTAAAAATCTATAATTTTCAACAACGAACCTCAGAAGTAAATATAAAGGAAATTTCTTCTCCCTTAAATCTCAGATCCTGTAATCAGATTAATCTTCTTAAAATTATTTCCTCTTACTAGTGCCACATAAATTATTCAGTGGCTCCCATTTTCTACAGAATGAAGTTCAACTCTTTATTCTGACATTCAAAATATTCCATGCTTTGGCCTCAAACTTTATTTTCAAACCAGGCCATGCTCTTCACTGACTCAGTATCAGCAAAGCTCATTCCAACCCTGAGCTGTGTTCCTCACTTCCAATGCTCCCCTTTCTCATCTTCAAATCCTATGGCTTTATTTATTTATTTATTTATTTATTTATTTATTTATTTATTTAGTAGACTCCACACTCAGTGTGGGGCTTGAACTCCCAACCCTGAGATCAAGAGTCCCATGCTCTACTGACTGAGCCAGCCAGGTGCCCCAAACCCTATGATCTTTAAATGTTCCATTTGACTCCCACCTCCCCTGTGTAAATTTCCCTAATGTTTCTGATGCCTTCCTCTAATCTGGTCTTTAACACTCATGTTGGCTTTTAAATAACCACGCTCATGTACTGTTACCAAACTAGTTTCTGTTTTTAAGACTTGTCTCTTCAACTAAATGGGAAATTCCTTGATTAGTGCCTTTGGTGCCTAGGACAATCCTGAGTATATAATTATAAACACATGCTAATATCATCTTAATCACCTCTGACATTTTACTTTATTCTTACAATTTTTCTTTCCAACTACAGAAACAGCACAACTAAAGGCCAAGTTTACTGTTGCTGTAGTGTCTCTCATTCTCTCCAGAAGCCAACTGACTTTGCTCTTTGCTCCCATTATTAATGCATGAACTTTACTGTGCAACTAAAATACATGGAATCTGGAATTTTCTTCAAACCAGGGGCTAATACCTTTAATTTCATCAAGTCTTAGGTAAGTTTCTGTCTTTTTTGATAAATGTATATTTACAGATAGATTTTTTCCTTTTAATGGAATATTTTGGAGGTTCAATCAATTTCTCTGAAATTATAGAGCTTTAAAATAACTGCAGGTTTCCTTCCATTGAGTATGATTTTTTTCCTTTTTTCTCTCCTTTTCCTAACTGAGCAAAGGGAAGGGGGTATAGAAGTGGTAGGATATACGCTTTTTAAAAAAAGGCCACCCCGGGCTGGGTATAGAAAAGCATAAATTATGGTCCTAGCTTCCTCTACTGCTTAGGCAGCTTTGCTCTGCTTAAGACTGTTAGGCTTGAGGTTCAAATCTACAAATCCAAGGCAGCTGTAATCCCAAACCAGCATGGTTCTCTTCCTCCATATAACTGTAGCACCCATTTATTAATCACCTCCTATATGTCAGATACAGTATTGGTTGCTTTATATATCATCTAATTATCATAATCAAGTGAATCATGATTCCCATTTTACAGAAGACAAAAGGCTTACAGAGGCTTAGAGATGTTAAGTAATTTGAACAACTAGTAAGTAGCACAGCTAGAGTTTGGATGTAGAACTGATTCTAAAGCCTCTGCTCTTTTCACTACACCTTGCAATGTCAGTGCCTTGTATTGCCAGGAATTCTGTTTCGGGAATGTTGGGGCTTGTACTGATAACCTTGGCAGCTATTGGGAAGGACAGAATAATAATAAAATGTTTTAGTGTGTTTGAGGAGGCTCACCAACAGTCCTCTCCTGCACACACTTACTCCAGTCTTCGTTTATTGGTGTTCCCCACTCTGACAATTTACATTACAGTTTACACCAAATTTGGCACTGTCCCTTTTGTTATGGAACATATGATCACATGTCTTGGTAGGTGGAAGGAGAGCTGGCAGTTTTTACCTTTGTCAAGGTTCAAGACAAGAACAACAGTATGAAATCAACACAATAAGAATATATATACATATATTTCATATGTGTATTAGAAATTCTCCCTGTAGTAATAGATCACAAAGACAAACTTAAATAAGACTATATAGTCTTGTTCTGACATATGAATTCCAACCTTCAGCTGTTAGTTTACTTATTTGAAGTACAGTCAATAGAAGGAAATTCCAGTGTGACAAGAATTTTGACAATCCCTCAGTATTATCTCTAATGGGATCTAGTTACATTGTGATTTTCCAGGAAGGATGTAGCTGTGTATGTATGTTTTAATCTGGCAGTTACTCTTATTCTAGTCATGCTGTATGTGTCAATTCCCATTGCTGTTTTATTAGGACCATGGGAGGAGAGAGGCTATTCTTCCCTATTTTTCTATACTTGAGAGTTTACCGCATAATGTTCTCTTAGTAATTTAAGAGTCTAAAGATTTCTATGCTGATTTAACCAATATTTTACATTTAGTTGGGCAGAAGTTTATTAATAAGTATTTGCCACCAAACAGATCTAACTGTATAAATATGTATTATATAATTACATTAAGGATAATTTGTGTTTGAGTCAATAACCTTTCATTCTTGTATCATTTTAATATTAGGTATTTAAAATGCTTTTATAAATCAGATTTTTTTGGTGTGTTTAAAAAAATAACACTAATTTAGTAGGAGACTAGGGTGCAGTTTTCAATGGCATTGACAGTTATGGTGCTATAGAAAGAAACTATACCTGGAATCTAACTTTATAGAGCCTTGGCTCTGCCTCTTGATTTTTATCTTGGAGAAATCACTTCATCCACTTACTCATCTACAGGATAAGAATAATAATTTCCATCCCCCAATGTTTTTTATGAAAACTATATGGCATATAGGAGCTGTTCTACAGAGGCAAAATTGGGTTTAAGGGACAGGGGCATGGCAAGGAACTAGACATCTCAGAAGGGAGCAGAGAGGGGCTCTTTATGGAGTTTGAACTAAGCATTATTAGTCACAGAGCCCAAGTACTATGTATGGTAGGCCTAGAATACCTCTCCCTGAAATTCTACTTCCAAAGACCAGACTTCCCTACTGGGGGTGAACTCATCCCCGGGGCATGTTTTGTGATTTTTGTCCTTGTTGCCCTTCCCCCCAGGATTGTAAATTTTGGAGAAGCCATTCCTTCACCTTTGTATCCTTCTGGGAACCAAACCGATCATTAGTATATGTGCTTAATGTGTTTGATATTAGACAAAGTCCCTATACAGAATAGGGAATCAGGTTAGCAATTGAATAACCATTAGCAGCATTTAAGTTAAAGCCAATTTTAAGTTCTTCCTTCTCTCCAAAGGAAAGAACAGTGGTGTTTTTCCTAAAAGAAAATCTTAAATTGAATTGGGTCGCTAGTGTTCAGCCTAAAGCCTAAAAAGAAATAGGTGCAAGGTTGGGGAGGACGATAATTAACCATATTTTGGTTGTGCTCTGGCTCGGGAGGAGCCCTGGCGCTCGTCCCAACAGGAATGCCCGTCCCACCCAACCCGAGTTGTGGGGTGCAAGGCAGACGGTTGTCTCCGTCCCTCCAAGCCACTGTGGCTGGGTTTCTGGTCTTGAGAGATGCAGATGAAGTGGTGTGAAGGGTTGGGCTTTTTTTTTTGTTCCTAAAAATGCAACGAACAAAAAAAAAAGTACAACAATCCAAACCCAACCATCTTGTTGCGCGCCAGCTTTCTTCCCGGATGGCTCCACCGGGGACGGCGCCGCCTCCTGTCGCCCGCGCTCCGTCAGGCCCGGCCCACGCGTCTGAGCGAGCCGTCAGCCCGCCAGCGCCCAGGCTCCGCCGACCCCGGGCACCGCGCTCCGCGCCGCGCGCAGCCCCTCGGGAAGGGAGGGAAGCGAGCAGCCCGGGACCCTCCCCTCCTCCAGGCGCACCGCGGGCGGTGGCAATTATTGGTGGCGGTTGTTGACACCGGAAGGACTCCCGCCTCACCTCACCCACAGCCCCCCACCCCCACCCAGGGACAGGCGAGACTCGGGAGACGGAACAAAGGCGAAGCCCGGCCGAGGGGGCGGGCCGAGGTGCCGGGAGAGGAGGGCGCTGGGGCGGGGCACGGCTGGCGCCGCGAGTCCATTTTGCCGCCGTGCCCAGCCGGTAACGCGCGGTCCGCCGGCTGGAGGACAGGCGGCCGCGCGGCTCCAGGTGGGGCCCCTCCCGCGGCCCCCCGAGGTCCGAGATAAGTACCCGGCGGGTCCCTCTCAGGGTGGGGGGGTGTGATCCTTGGGCCTGCTGCGAGGGTGGGGACTTGCCCTGGCAGGACAGCGACCTGCGTGGGTGGGGGTTTGGCGGAGAGCTCAGTTTGAGCTCCACAGCTGCACAGCGGAAACCAGCTGGGCGCTGGAGCGGGGCGTGGGTTGGAGCGGCGAGCAGGGGGCGTCAGCTGGGCCCGTGCAGCGTGTCTGTGTTCCAGAAAACCTGCTCCGCTACGGAGTATGCCCGGCTTCACTGCCAGCGCCTCGGTATCGCCTAGGAAAGAAAAGGCGACCATGAATCACAAGTCGGAGCGCTCAGCGCTTTCTGGCACTGAACCTGGGGAGGTGCCTGGCGCCGGGGGAGGGCGCCCCAACCGGGAAGCTCCTTAGTACTGCACAAAGATCTTCGGTCACGCTGCTGGCTTTTTCACCAGGTCCTAGCACGCTGGCTTTATTTGTGGGGGACGACTGAAAAAATTAAGGGTCAAGACTAAGGATCCTGTGCAAATAAATGCATAATACTCTCTTCTTTGTTCTTTCTTTGCAGTAGCCTCGTTTGATTGTCAATCACAAAGTGAGAAAAAAAACAAAAACCTGATTGCTTTGTCCTGGGAAATAGTAACCCTGACGAATACACCTGCCCGCAGGGGACAGAGGTAAATTACAATACTTCTCCCTACAGTAAGAAACCAAAAAAGCACCCAGGTTTTTTTTCTAGGCCCAGAATCATGCAGAATTGAACTAGGTGTAGAATGTGTTCCCATCCTCATGGGCGGTCTCTGTTCTTTTCATATTTTTTCAAAACTCAGAAGAATAGATTCAGTATTTGGAAAATCTTTATGTAGCAATTATTCGACATGTATTGCAGTCCACAGATTTATAATGAAAAGGAAAAGAGAGGCCTTAGTAGCATTTCTTTTTTTTAAGATTTTTTTTTTCCTTCTCCCGTACCGTGCTGCTAGGACTTGTACAAATACTGAGTTTTCTAACTCTAGAGACTTTTATACAATCGGTATTTTAAAAGCAGAATTTCATTTACATAGCCACTCCTTCTGGTAGAACTTGATGGAGCTGTTGATTAACTGCTTATACTTCTGTCTTCTATAATGAGAAGGTACATTTCTTCAGGCTCTCCTTTTCTTAAAAATACCATTCTTTTTTTGCACTAGCTGAGATACTAAGCCTCCCTGGTAAGTCCTTCCATAACACCAGGTTACTCTTTCCATTCTATACAGTTATGACTGGCTGGTTACCTGGTCTTACTTGTACCACAGCTACTGTTCAGATATGCCTGTTTCCATGAAAGTGCTTTGTACCTGCTATCCTATATAATGCTTTACCTTTTCATGAAATTGTAGTTCAAGAGAGTCCGGCTCTCTTTCAGGACCTTTCTTGGTTAATAGACTCATGCTCTAAAATAACACTTTAAATGTGAATTTACATTTTGTGTATTTGTACCCAACTGTAATTAATCCACCTTACATTTATATAGTTTAGCAGTTTACAAAACTGGCACTCATTACTTAATATTCCCAGAAACATGATGAGGTAGATAATGTAAAAATCCTCATTCTATGAAGGTTAAAACTCCTGCTTGAAGTTAGGTATTCAGAGACAGGTTCAGTGCTCTGTTTCCTCTACTAGAGAGCCTGGTATAGCCTAATTTGTAAAAATCATAAAATTTTAGAAGGGATTTAGAGAGCCATGACTAAACTTTTCCATTTTATGAATGAGAACACTGAATTCTTGATCCACTTTCTGGATAGTGCTAAAAGTCTAAGAATTGGGGAACTCAGGTCCTAAGCCTAGCTTGCTGTGTATAATTGGGAAAGCTCCATTTTTGGAGTTGGGGGGGGCTCAGTTTTTTCAATTATAAAGTTAGGTGTTTTCTAGATGGTCTCTAAGATACTTTTAGACCGAGTGCTTCTCTTTTTTAATTTTTTAAATTTTATTTTATCATGTTATGTTAGTCACCATACATCTTTAGTTTTTGATGTAGTGTTCCATGATTCCTTGTTTGCATATAACACCCAGTGCTCCATTCAATACATGCCCTCCTTTATACCCATCAACGGGCTAACCCATCCCCCCACCTCACCCCCCAAAACCCTCTGTTTCTCAGAGTCCATAGCCTCTCATGGTTCTTCTCCCCCTCCGATTCCCCCCCCTTCGTTTTTCCCTTCCTACTGTCTTCTTTTTTTTTAAACATATAATGTATTATTTGTTTCAGAGGTACATAGACCTAGTACTTCTTTTTATTCCTACTCCAAAACTTTTATTACCATATATTCCCTTACATGTATTGGTAATCCTAAACACACATTAATATTAACTGCCTTAAACTGTTTTATATTTTAAATTTGGGTAGGTATGGTAAAAATGTATGCCTTATTCTTGGTGTTTTACTAAACTATAAAAGTATGGTTCTATTGTAAGATCAGGAACTGCATGGAGAAGTGGGGCACTCATACATCATTGGTTAGAGTTCATAAATTGGTATACCCCTTCTAGAGGGAAACCTGACAATCTTTTCAAGGTCTTTAGAAGTGTTTCTACTCATTGACACACCTAACAATACACTTAACAGGAATCATCTAAGGAAATAATCAGAGCTGTGGACCAAGACTTTTCTACAAGATGTTCATTTAAATGTTATAATCCAAAAAGACATATAGCCAATAAGAGCATATCCGTAAGATGGACTATCACATTTTAGAAGAATATATAATAATAGGGGAAGTACATGTGATAAATTAAGTGAAAAATGGTGGATACAAAATTGTGTGAAGCTACCAGTTTTGTTAAAATAGGTATGTGCACAAACACAACACACACAAGATTGGAAGAGATAAAACAAAACAGTAATAATGGTTATTCCTTGCTGATGTGATTATGGGTGATTTTTCCCCTGTACTTTCTGAATTTTCTATACTCACAAATTACTTTTATAGTTGGTTGCTTGGATAACCTCTCTAACTTCAGTATGGTGTCAACTTTCTATGTCCTTTTTTTATAAGGCATTTATCATACCTTTTAGAGGAACAATATCTTTGTAAATGTGCTGTATTTCGGAATTTAGGGCAGGAATTGACTTTTGGCTTATATTTCATCTTTTTAAATATCATTAGGTCATTGGATTATTCATTCTTATTATTCATTAAAGACACTGCCATCTTCATTACCTTGGCCTTGAACTCTGGATTCTAGAATGGTACTGATGAATAGAGTGCTATGCCCACTTCTCATAACAATTAACCCAAATACAGGCGTCCTCTGACATAAAGAATAGTTTCATTCCCATTAAGCCTTCTATAAAGCAATTTCCTGTAAACTTCAAAAAAAAATCATTTCCGGGGCGCCTGGGTGGCTCAGTCGTTAAGTGTCTGCCTCTGGCTCAGGTCTTGATCCCAGGGTCCTGGGATCGAGCCCCGCATCGGGCTCCCTCCTCGGCGGGGAGTCTGCTTCTCCCTCTCCCACTCCCCCTGCTTGTGTTCCTGCTCTTGCTATCTCTGTCAAATAAATAAAATCTTATTTAAAAAATAAAATAAAAAATCATTTCCATTGTATATGGAGACATATTACTAAGGAAAGGTTGAACTGAAAATTTTTGAAATTCTTATCCCCTACCTGCCTGTTCACCTTATCTTTCTTTCCCTTTAAATTCTTGTTTAAATTCTTGTCTTTCGTGTGGCATTAGTACCACAAGTATATTCTACGGCAGTAGCCAGGTTCCCCATTATAACTCCATGAGGAGCTTTTTTATTCCCCCCTGCATATTTGCGGTATTGAATATGAGCGAGGAGTGCCCACATAGTATATATAATATAGCCAACCCAAAAATTGCTTAAAGTTTAGCATAATTGGCTTTCTACTTGATGTATCTTGTAGCTCACGTTTACTTTAGAATAAGATGTATACATAATTCTACACTGAGCAAAAGGACCTTTGTTATACTAATTATATTTCCAATAGGCATCTCAGAAGTAAGTTATTAGTTGATATGTAGTACTTATCATTTACAAAGTGCCTATTTTCCCTTCTACAGTATTATATGTGACATATGTAACCTCACTTATCTAGATAAATCCAGCTAGCTACCCACCAAATGCTAGACTTTGACAGTACTTTCTGAAAGCTGGCATTAACCTGAAATACAGATTTAGATGATGATGGAAACTTTTTAATAGATACCAGCCAATAGTTATTGCCAAATTTATGGTTGTAAAAGAAGACAAATTGTTTTAGGGGTAAAAATTTTCCAGCTTCATGAAACCCACTTACATTTATTTGGGAGAAAAGAGACCAGACATTTCTGGTTTGACCTTTCCAGAAGTCATTAGTTCCAACTTAACTAAATTGGAACTCTTAACAGGTAAAGATAAATATCTGAATCTGGTTGGTACCAGAGTAGGAGAATAATTTAGTCTATACGTATGTTTTCCTCAAACTCAGACTCATTCAAATAGATTTCATCTGGGTGGGAGAGAATAGGCTTCAATACTGTTTGGAAATCACAGACTTCTGTGGGGGTTTTTTTGTTGCTAAATTTAAAAAAATTTTTTTAAGTAATCTCTACATCCAACATGGGGCTTGAACTTATGACCCTGAGATCAAGAGTTGCATGCTCTACTGACTGAGCCAGCCAGTCATCCTCCCACAGATTTCTTGATAGCTGTACAGAAGTGGGATAGTGGGATATCTGATCGAGCTGGTATCCTAAAACCCTATTGATATAATGCTGTTACAGAGTAATAGCTGGGGTAATTATCAAGAGACACAAGGAAAAGATAAAAGGGAAACAAAGATAAGGTGAACAGGCAGGTAGGGGATAAGGAAAGAATAGGAGGAAATCAAAAGATTGTACACCTTGACATGGGGAGTATGATGAGTTAAGAGAATAAACAAAGGAAAGAGGCAAGACAAACTAGTGGTTCAGAAAAGAGAATGAAGAAAAGGAAAAAAACCTGTTTTTTTGAGTGGTCTGGACTAACTAGTAAGGGTAATGACCTGGCTTTTACGTTTCTGAAAATGTTACCATAGTCCAAAACCTCTGTGAAATTGCTGAATAGGTGGGTCTTCCAAGCTGATGGATCTTTTTTCTAGCTTTATTTTGTCCTACTAATCAGGAATCCTACTAGAAATATCCTGGGGTAAATTCTAACTACTAATTCTAGGATAATGCCAGAAAACAGAAGTTTCTTATTGTCTTACGTTGACACATAAGTAACTTTTATATTGTGTTTGCAGGAGCCACGTAACAATGACACAAGCTATTTTAGACACTATATATATCTTCCATAGTCCTTTTGTGAGATTCTTAAACTCACTTTATCCTGTTTTGATCACATAAGTTATGAAACAGTCTCTAAAAGCCATAATAAAGTATAACAACACATTGATAAGGAGCACTTAAAACAAATATTTTGTAAATAATTTTCATATATTATGACTTTCAAAACAGTTGTATAACGAGGAGAGAAACTGCAATATGTACATGTGGTTTGTCAAAGGCTACTGTCTAAGAACCAAACAAGAACAAACCAAACAGGCCTCCTCACAGGCCTGGATCCAGAGATTCTCAGTAATAACATTTTTTATTTTATAAAAGATAAAACAATACTGTAGCAGATCAAGCTCTTGTAAAGCTTATCTTACC